TTCAGGAACTGAGAAAAGCAGCTCTCTTAAACAGCTTTTGTAAACTCAAGGTGAGCAGAGAGTTATCCTTCACTTCACAAGAAAACATGCAGATGGAAATGCGAATCTTAAAGAGCAGATTATCTGTCAAAACTGTTTGTTTACACGTTGTTGTTTTTTTTGTTTTTTTTAAGCAAGCACAAATTAATCATCACAAATCCGAGGAGGTTAGTGTTTCCCTGCCAGAAAAGTGACATTTATGAAAGATGACACTGCAATTTATATTTTGTGCTGTCTCTTCTTTTGTGTCTCGAGATGATCAAAATCTGCTCCACATGTTGTGTACGGAGCTAAAGAGGCAAAAGAGGTTCACAGTTTTTTTGGTTTTTTTTTTTACCTTCCTCCTTACGAGCTGCCTCGAGCACCTAATGGGTTTCTTGTTTAGGGAGGTAGAGATAAGAGAGAAACCAACTGTGTGCACGGTTCCCTGCCTCTGTCTCATTTTGGTTTCAATTTGCATCAGGTATTGTTCTGGGGACAGGGTCAGAGTTAGATTGCTCACCTCTGGAAAAGCATTTTAGGAGTCTTTAAACTTCCTGTGTAATGGTAGAAATCAATTCTTTCAGCAGCCTACAATGAAAGTTTATAAAGATGCACGACGCGTCTTCACTTCCTCCCACGGTACACCTTGCCACCTTGTGCTGGTAAGACAGTGGAGCTGGTCCCGCCCATTCACCCGCCCGACCCAATCATGAGTTAATCACAGCTGCCAATCATGACGTTACACTTGTTTTATAGCATCAAATAACTAATTAAAATGATCAAGTTGTTTCAACTTCACGTTTGGGGAGCTGTGATGTCATCGACCTTTATATAGCAGGAGCTAGCAGATAGCTTTGTATATACTTTGATCAGAAGCAGAAGGAAACGGCTAGCCTGACTGTTAAACTGTCTGTCTGACTGTTTTTTAAAAATCTGCACAAAGTCACAATTGATGTTTTTACACTTCAGATAAAACAATCAAGTTATCATGTGTTATCTTGTGAACTTAAGGACAGAGCCAAGCTAGCCATTTAACCCAGCCTTTCTCCTACGCTAGCTAACCTGCTAGCTGTAGCTTTATATTTAGCATACAGACCTAAGTTTCTGCAGCAGATTTCCTAAAATGTCAAACAGTTATTTTAAATCAATACCTGCCTCTTAGTTTATTCACATTTCAGTTGTGTCAATGTTAAATGTCAAAGACTAACAGAACAACATTTTAGTGAAATGAGAACTTTCTGTATTAATTTCTAGTGTTCTGAGGAAAAACTATTTTGACTGTCTAATAAAGTAGCAGCTTTGAGACTGGGTGGTTTGCTCATTTTAATAATGCATATCTAAATCCGCCGGCCCGCTGAGGTGAATAGCTAAACAGTTATAAAATACAACAAAAGCAGAACATTTTCAAGAGCAAATCTCAGTCTCTCGGGGAGGCTTTCACCATAACTAAGTGAGCAAGGCCGTCCAGAAGTTTTTGCACCATTCATTCATAATGCACATGAGCAGAGACTGAAATTTACTGTGTGAATAAATGGAATGAAAAACAATAACAAATTTGGATTAAGAGGATCATCTATCATATTTAACTATCTGCATTTCATTAAACTATAGGCTCCAATTTCATAATGTATCCATAAAACTTACAGAGAAAATAAAATTAAATGGGAGAAAAAAAAAGCTGGACAGACAATCAAATAGATCTTCAAGGAATTGACAGCTTCTCCAGTGCACCACACACTGGCAGAGACATAGAAATCACTCATTTTCTCCTTCTTTAATCACAAAAGAGGTCACAGAGTGGAACCCGCCAGACAAAGTGTTTACAGAGGAAGCTCTGCTGGGGATTTTTTCCGTGCCAATTGCCTGTCTGCCAGCCGAACTCGCCACCACCTCTACCACCCGCTTCTCGGACGGTGCTTTGCGCCTGCAAATCTCCGCTGTCACCCACACACTATTGTCATTCATGTATTCATACGCCTCTGCACCGACAAGGAGACGAGGATAAAAGGGTGGGTGGGCGGGGGTGTGCTGCAGGGAGTGAGCGGTGCTGGGTGATGGGAGGACGTGAGAAACTTTAAAGTGATAGATGCCAACACTGTCAGCGTGCACAATATGGAAGACGAAAACACTGCTTAACACACATCCAGTTTTTTTTTGTGCTGCAGAGGAAAACTGTTAAGATTTGTATAATAGCTGAATTTATGAAATACATCATATATAATTTCCATGGGATTTTAATGATGGTTATTTCCTGTTATCAATATAATATCAATAAATGGCAATTACAAAAGATTGTACACATACTTCATCTGTATGTGTGCAATTAAAAGTGACTTTTAAAGGGAAAGTTTGTTTAAATCTGGGTAGCATTCTTAGAGCTAATGCTAACATCGCTCTCTATAGCAGAAATGCTAAACAATGAGCTAGCTCAGTTAGACAGCAAGTTTTTCCCTATGCAGACAGCTTCAATAAGAAATCCAGGAGGCTAATTACTGAGTTTGCTTTAAGTCAGACTCTAAAACTGTGATTCATGTAACATGAATTGTTCTGGAAAGCTACAGGAGATTATGAATAAATGCTGTTTTGCTCCAAGTCTTCATAACTTAGCATGTCCTATATAGTCGGAGAGGCTGCAGTCTTCTTCTTTTAAAGTCCAGCCTGGCTGTCAAGTATTTGACACCACAACCTAACAAAGAAAGTTTCAACATAAAAGAATCCGAACGAGCTGCAAGTGAACGTATGCTCCATTTGATCTAACAAATGTTCTAACAGCCTTCATGCTAAGTAGGCTAACTGTCTCCTGGCTCCCGCTCAACCGCCATGAAAGGGAACTCCCAAAATATTCCTTTAAAGTTTCGGATTTCATTAAAATTGCTGCTTTTATTCTTATTCCCATTTAATATTTTACTACTAGTTTTAAAGTCACGTTAGTTACGTACCAACCATTTTCTTGTGTCTGCTTCTTCTCGTAGCGCACTTTGAGCTACATGCTTTGTGTAAAGGTTCTTTATAAATCAAGTTTGTTGTTATTATTATTTTTCAAAGAACTGAAGGGCTCGGATGGAGCGAGTGAGCGGGTAATGTTTGTTATCTGGCTCACAAAGGCAAAGTCGTGAGGTTTACACTGCAGGAGAGGGTCCCTGAGAAACACCTCGTTAGTCTGAGCCTGGAAACGGGGGCTTTGTACTTAGGTAACGCTTAGAGTAATTGGCAGCACTGCAGCGGAGGGCAGGGGGAGAGCACATAAAAGACACCACAGAGCCACAGAGATAATTGAGCAGAGAAGGTGTGTTTGACTAAAGCACTTTTCTTGTGCCAGGGTAGCAGGGGCAGACTGGAGCAACAACAAGTGTGATCAGCCTTTCATGGAGCAACTGTGTGCACTTTTTCTGCTAATTCACATCCTAAAGTTGATGTCTGCATCAGTATCCAACATACATTTGTAGCAGCGCTGATGGGAGACTGAAGTTTGTTATAACACGGGGTGGATCAACACAAGAAAATTGCATTATTAATGCACACCAGGAGATAAGGCTAGATTCTTGTTTATCTTTAAAATGCTCCCGCAAAGATGCACCTGCCTTATCATCCTCAATCACAAAGTGGTTCTGCAAACGTCTCAAAATCATCCCTGTCATTACGAAGAAGCAAACAGAATCACCTGAATCAGTTTCTTTTTTCGTATAGTTGCAGAAAATCGTCTTTACACATAAGAGGAGATGAAACGTAACACAGTAAGAGCAAAACACTACTCACATGTAAACAAGAAGCTTTTCTTTGCTATTTCAGAAATGCCAAATGTCCACAGTTACGTGGTGTAGCCTTCAATAATATATTTTCTGATAGCTGAGAGAGTGAGAGATCCCCTAAATCAGTGGTTCTCGACCTTTTTGAGCCACAACCCCCCCCATACATTTAAGTTTGGGTTACGTTTTTAAGTTGAACTTGACGGTGTAACGTTTCTCTCAGTCGGCCCAGCTTCACCCATCTCTTCTTACACCGCATCTTGAACTGGCAGACTTTTTTCGCATCATATTTAGCACCTGCCACTTATAATGACTACTTTATAACATTGGTGTGGGAGATTCAGTGGAAACATCATTCTCAAACTACAATCACCGCCTCATAGTTGTATCCTTCCGCCACTCAAACTAGTTCCAGGTTCCATCCCTGTTTATCCAGAGTCATATAAGATATTTGCGATTACAAAATTGCTCCTAATTGCTCATAATTGACCTTGACCTTTGACCTTCGACCACCAAAATCTAATCAGTTCGTCCTTGAGTCCAGGTGAATGTTTTTAACCAAGTTTGAAGAAGTTCCGTTAAGATGTTATTGAGACATCGTGTCCACGAGAATGAGACGGACGGACAACCCAAAAACAATATGCCTCCGGCTCTGATTGTCGCCGGCGCAGAGGCATACAAATATTTATGAATTCTTTTATTATTTATTTATTTATTTATATTTGAAAACTGTCCTGTGATCCCTTAAAATAATCTCCCGACCCCCAGGTTGAGAACCACTGCCCTACATGAATGAAGGTGAAGCAACATTAAAACACAAAGGGAGCTGAAATCCATACTGAGTCATCACTGTTGAGCAGTATGTCTTCACCTTTGGCACAGTCAGAACGTACGGACAGTATTTACACAAACACGGGAGAAGTTTTCCACTAAAACGTCCGTCGACGATCTGCCATGACGAAGCCACACAAAGAGCACAGGCACTTGATGTTCTCTTCACAATGCAACAAAGCGGATGCTGCCACTTAAACAGAAGAAAAGGAACGTCACCAAACTGAAACGCCGTTTTTCCCGAGCCTCACATTCTGCAACCATGCACATGGGATTTGAACAAGACCTTTTAAAAAGACCTCAGAAACCAGGGCAGGGGTGTTACTCAGCGCATGACTCACTGCATGTTACGATTAAGAGTGAAAAACAGGATTGAAAAAACAGATGGTGCACACAGTGGCTGCTGCCCGATGTGACCACCCAGCTCTCCTCCAGGCTCAGCAGGTGCCCGTGGTGCTGACGGTGGTGTAGCTGAACTTGGACATGGAGGTGGCCATCGACGTGGCCATGGAGGTGCCGGTGATGCCGTCTTCTCCTCCCTCCCTCTTCCTGCACCACCAGCACTGGCGGCAGAGCCGATTGCGGCAGCAGCAGGCGAAGGTGGACAGCAGGGCCTTGCGGAAGCGCGTGTTCATGAAGCAGTAAATGATGGGGTTGACGCAGGCGGAGGTGTAGGACAGCAGGTGGATGAAGGAGATGGGGGCTCCTGAGAGGGCTTTGGAGGCTGACTTCAGGTCAAAGGCTTTCCAGGTGTTGGCCGAGTACAGCGGCATCCAGCAGATGAAGAAGAGCGCTACGATCACCATCAGCATGCGGATGACTCGCCTCTTGGCCTGCAGCTTGGCCTTCGACGTGTTGCTGCGGGCGCGCTCAGGTTTGGCCTGGGTGGCGGCGGCGGCGGCAGATGAGGCAGAGAGGGTGGGGAGCTCAACAGCAGAGGCGGGTTTTTTAGCGACCTGGATGTAGCAGCCATCGTCGTCATCATTGGACCCCGTCACAGCCCTGCTCACGCCGTTCTTTTGTCCTGCGGATAGTCAGGGGCCCCGAGTGTTAGTTTGCGGCTGTTTAACTTATACAGCACTTTTCATCACAGGTTAACTCTGCGTTTTACGTTTAAGTATATTCAGCAAGAAGTGAGATTATGATAAATAAAATACACAAACACATATCACTGACAGCCGCTCACCCTCCAACAGACAGCGGAGGCTGGATTACCCACACAGTAAGAAGACAGAGAGATGCTCAGATGTTCATGGTTCACATAAAAAGTATAGGATTTTTTTTGCAAACACATTATAATAAAGCCCATGATTTACAGGGTCATTTTGTTGTATGAATAAGGTACAAATAGAGTAATAACCATTTGTTTCTGGTACTTAAATTTAGCTACAGTGGAAGAAAATATGACAAGTGGAAACAAGGAAGTAAAAACTCCAACAAACTCTTATTGTGTAATTTAAAAAGGAGAAACAGCCACATTACAGCTCACATACCTTACTCTTACTGTTTGATATACAGTGGACATTATAGTTTTACTCATTCACAAACATTATCTGCGGCATGTAGGAGAAAATACAGGGATTTATTATCACATCTTCTCCTTCCACTGAAACCTACATTTAAGAACCAGTAGTAACTGTTTTTATTCTGCTTTTATTTGTTTTTTTATTTGAGCATCTACAAATTAGAAAATGAAGCCTTGTGGAAAATCTAGATTTAAAACCACTGAGGAAAACATGGGATGTCTTAGTAGAAAGAAAACTAGTTAAAATCAGAAGCTGAATCTTGAAGTCTCTGGATTGAAATATTTTGATTGACAGCGTCAAACGTATCAATAAAAATGCGGGTGGAGCAGCTGTTTATACACAACTATTTTTGCGGTATTTTTCTCAGGATGTGAAGTATTAAAAAGACTTACTGCCAAGGATGGAGGTTCATTATTTCGCTGTGTCACAAAGAAATAATACACATCTTGCAAGATTAGCGGTCGCCACTGAAGGCTATTTTAGAAAGACTCAACCTTGATGAATCACACTCAAGACTGGACTCCATGGAAACTGGTGCTCCACATGCACACTGTTATAACAGCACCTGAAGGAAGCATATCTCTGCTGTAGTGTTGTTAGGCTATGGAGAGGCTCCACACAGGCATGAAGAAGTATTTCTGGATGTAACGAGTGCAGAACTTGTCAATAGCGTCTCTCTAGTGTAATTCACCGCAGCTTCACACAGGTCTATAAAAAGTGGAATAGATGTTGTCGTCCCCAGTATGAGCTACATCAATGTGAACCAAAAGCCTTTTTGCGGTTTGGACTGGATTTATGATGGAACTCACCGGTGGTCTCCGCGTTCTGGCTCAGCTCAAACTGGATGCCTCGGTAGAGCTCTCTGGAGATCAGACCGTAGGCTATAATCATCACCACTCCGGGGATGAAGAACAGAGTGAACAGCAGCAGCACGTACCTGGAAAAACAGCCAGAATGGAAAGAGAGAGGTGTTAGAAAATAAAGCAACACTGAGTAACAACTGAAATCTGAGTTGAAACAGCCCAAAACAAAGACGTCGGATTCTGCAGCTCTGATTGTAAACTACCAGAAAAACTTTTCTTCCTCACACGCCTTTGTGCGTGTGTTGGCGCCGTGCTGGAGGCCCTGCAGATGGCTGACCCCTCCCAATGAGCCTCTGCACCCCCATGCTGTTTGGCAAAAGGTACTGCAGCATCCTGGGCCAGTTTTGCATCTTCTCCCCGCAGGCTGTCAGCCTCCTCAGCACCCTGCGGTTTAACTGTCCTCTATCTCTTATTGGAATATTTGGCTCCAATATTTACCTCTGGGGGCGTTCTTACTGATGCCATGTTTGCGTATATCTATACATTTAATAAGCTGCTGCAAGTTTGTCTGTTTGCTGCTTTGAATTTACATTTAATCAGATCAGAGTTGGTGCATCACTGTAACTCTCCCCGTCATTGTGCAGGGTTGTTCAGTGGTGGAAGAAGTATTCAGATCAAGTAGCAATCACACACTGTGAAACCGCTCAGGTGCAAGTATTCAAAATCTTAATTCTGAGTAAAAGTGCAAAAGTATTATCAGCAAAATGTACATATATATTATTATATATTATATATTTGGATTATTATTACTGTTGCATTAACAAGTATTTTAATACCAGGTTGATATAGAGTTAAACAAATCTATATGTTTAATCTATAATAATGCATCATATTTTATAAACAAATCTTCGTTTGTAAAGTGGCGAGTAACTTGGATAAAGTGACAGTTAATTTGAACCTGTGGTTTAATTGGCCACATGGGGGCAGCAGAAACAACCTGTAAACTTAACGCTGACATGTTAAAACTTTTTAAGTTGTTATATTGAAGGTGTGAGCAAACAGTTGCTTATTTACAAATCTACCACACACTGAACAATGTTCAAAGTTCAGTATTAACTCTCCTTTTTTGAGACTCGTTGGGAAACATCTGGCTTTTAAGCTGCTGAATGCTCCACTTTGTTCACTAGCTAGTTGCTAACTGTCTGTTCGCCGTTTGTTACTGGACAGGGAGTTTTTAAATAAAACATCTACGTGCTGCAGCTTAAAAACTAAAGCTAAAAAGTGAGAATGAAGCAAAACATTAAAGCTACGAGCCAAAAAACCCAAACAATGAGCTGAAAGTCTCTAAAACGCAGTAGTTGGATGATAATTCTCTTGTTATTTGATCCTTTGTTCATGTCAAAATAATGACGATAGCAGCTTTGACTGTCTTTTATCCTCTTTACAAACATAATGTTCTGTCAAATTCATAGTGTCCAAACATGAGCACTGAGTTTACAGAGTCAGGTCGATTAGTTGGACCAGTTGGATCTGTTGGCTGCTGCAGGAGTAACACACACTGTGGGCTGTAGTGCTCCTGTTTAACCCGGAAGAGGTTTTCAACACGACCTTATCAAAGCGACCTGTTAACATATTGACAGTTTACTCAGTAACGCAGTGCATATTGACACACGGTGACAACAGGACATCATATGAACACAGCATGACATACTTTAAACTGTGCACACGGTTGCAGATTTCACAACAGAAAAGTATGAAACACACCAAACAAACATGGTTAAATATGATTTAATATAACTATCGACAGCTTCGGGCTGTGCGCTCAGCTGTTTTCTGATCATAAATGTTCCTTCTCGCGCTGAAAGGATAACGATCACGGCTCCCTCGAGCGCCTGGATTGATGACGCCTTAAAGAAAAAAGTCGTGAACTGAGTAAAGAGCAAAAAAAAAAAACTGAATAAAACATTGACTCAGAATCTTTGTCAGTGTCTCTTCGTCTTCTCCACTGTGCCTATATTCTGTCCTGCAACACTAGCTTTGTTTTAGCATGCAGTAAAAGTGCAATGAATGAGACTTGGGATTATAAAACATGGATCAATGAGACAAATGAATAAAAACCAAACGCAATTACTGTCATGGACAAAACTACAAAGAGAGAACACCATGAATAAATAAGAAATTGTACACCTCTCACTTTGATCATTGTAATATATCTTTACCATCCGCAGCCACATCTACCTTTTGATTCGTCGTAATCAGAGAATGCTCTTCTTAACCACCGATGTCTGCGGTGCACATCAGTCAGCACATGAAAGAGGACGGAGAGGAAGAGATGGGTTTTTCATCCATTCTCTGATATTCTAATGTCTTTCCTGTGCGACCCTCTGAACTCTGCACAGCCCCTCTGCTTCGCTTCAGTCGCAGACTCTCATCAGCTGCATGTTTGATACAGGAAATCTGCTCCGTTCTGACAAAAGCTGTCAGGAAGTGAACGTGTAGGAGTGTGGGGACACCACTAAAGAAAAAAAAAAAAAAAAAAAAGGTGCTGGTAGATTTCTGTGTGTGCTTTGCCTCAAGGGGAAACCCAGATGGATGGAGCTGAAGCGGAGGGACACATGAAAAAAAAAAACATGGAGCTCCCTCTTTTGACTGTTCACACGTCGCCCAAGTGATTATCAACTGGGAAAAGTGTGTTTGGTTCATGTTAATCAAAGAAAACGAACATTAATGGTGACACATGGTTCATTGCCGTCTTTTGTTTTAGTGCAAAACGCCTGTTTTTGAGCTCAGCAATGAAACGCTACCTGCAATGGAGGATTTGACTTCCTCAGAGTAGAGGTCTTCCCTGTTCTGAAATGTTGGACCCAATCTGAAGCGGACATGTGGAAAACCTGCTTGAACACGACAATCTGAAAGGGACTCAAGGATGTTCAAGTCTGATCCAAACGCACCTAAGAAAAATTTAGACCCAATCCAAAATGAGGAACAGCAACTGAACACCTGAAGCTGAGAGGAGTCTGCAGACCGCTGTGCTGTTGTTGCTTTGCCCTCAGTTTTTCCTCTCAGGCTGCGAACAGTCTGCCCTATCTTCCTGATGGAGGCTGTTTACTCTGGGTTGAATAAAATGTCCTCTGCAGTATTTTAGGTGAAGAACATTATTTAGTCATGTTTCTATTTGCAGTTAATATTCTCCCACAAAGACGCACGAATAGAGCATCAATAAAAACACTAAAAACTCTTTGTGGTAAAGATACAAATACAACATGACCTGCCATAAAGTATCCCTAAGGTCCCTGTCAAGGAAAATACACATTTATATTTCTGTTTGCTTTACTACACTACCATTATTACACACAATAGCCAATTTCTAGATTCAGATATTTGAAATATATACATCTCCAGATCTAAGCTGCCTTTTTTATTTATTTATTTATTTATTTATTAATATAGCCAGTTGTTTGCTCCTGGAGTGAAATCTGTCAAAAAACAAAATCCCACTCTGTCTGTTAAAGCACTGACTGCTCAGCAATTTGATTGTGTGAACTGCAGCGCTGCAGAATAGATGAACTGTAGCCGGTGGTGCGAACAAGCCAGAGTCAGTGATGTGAACAGAGCTTGATTTTAATTGCAAAATAAAATAAAAAAAATTGTTGTTTTGTGTCAGTCGAAGTGACATTTTTGCAGATGAACCAAGTGTCTAATATTGATATTGATATTATAAAACTACTCTATGCTGTAGGATACAATACAAAACATTAGCTGTGATACAGGTTGTATTTCTTAACGCGGAGCTATTCTGATTTCATATTGCAGAGTAATTGTTGGATATTATTGGAATATTGGATCATAAAATGTGTCTGAGAAGTTTATTTTATGTCTGGGATCAGAAAGCTGAATCGTACAGGGAGTACAAGATTTCTCTTCCACACAAAATGACACTTGATCATATTAAAATATCGACATAATGTAGTGCATTGATTTCCCGCCGTGAGTGAGATTAACCTCCCTGCAGAGCACCTAAGAATTTTTTTTATATGTAAAACTGTGTGTAAAATCGTCAACGCACACCATGCATAATCATCATTATAAAACTTTTAAAGTCATCACACTTGTCTTTGACTTGACGAAATTGCTTCATCAACCACTTAATGGCTCTTAGGTGTCTTTTGATATGGTTTGCTCGTCATCTCAGATTGTGATTTTCAGTCTAAAACTGGATGGTTCAACGACTCCACGCGCCGCTTCATTAGCTGCGGTGTAAAAGGTGTCATTTTCATACAGTGAGCTGTAGATGGAAGAGGGTGTTACCGTTTTAACGCTTAATGTCAGCGTAATTTGAAAAGACAGGTCATGATGAAACTGAATTAAAATTTGAAAGGTCCTCGTACTCTGTGACACGTCTGGAACTTTTGACGTCTGAGCCTCGACTTTCTTCCTCCTCCTCCTCCTCCTCCTCCTCCTCCAGACTAATTAACTGCTCTCCCACTGCCTCGTCTTTCCCACTGAAGCTTAAGAGCTTGATAGACAGTTAGAGAAAACTGAATTCTTCAGAGAGTTTGACCACAAAAGGCTGTCAAGTACGGAGATGTACACATTCAACTTCTTCACTTTAATTCCGCCATCCTGCAGGACCCAGAGTTGTTTATGGACGGATCTTAAATCCCTGAGTAGAAGATCTAGAGATGCTCTAACGTCTTCAGAGGGCACGTTAGAGGGATGGATGACTTTCCTAATGCAGCGCTAATCATTTATCTGCTGACCTTTTTGTATAATGCTTTACCCTCCCCCCTCCTCCTCAGCGCACATTCAGGACCCTAAGACCAATCACATTATCATCAGGAAAATGGTGACATGCATCCTCGCAGCACCCGTACTAAAGGCAGGAACACGAGAGTATCTCTGTCTAATGATGTCGTCTCTACCGTCTGTCCCTGCTCCTCCGTCTTTTGGAAGGACCCCTGCTACGCTGGGAACTGGATCCATGTCAGACTGTCTCTAATTAAGTCTCTACAGAAGCTGCCTGTTCACCTTTTTCCTCTTTTGGGGGGAAAAAGAAAAGAAAAACAGTCTCCCACCTAATGATTTCACTCATTTTTCAGACATCACCCCTGTAACCACCTTCACAGCTTCAGCCCATGGGCTCAATCCTGAAGTGGTCTTCTTCTTCTCTCCATCGTTATCAATTCTCTCTCTCTCTCTCTCGTGAGTCTTCCCCGCTACACAAACTCTAAACTCTCTTTAAAGGAAGAGTTGGACATTATTCACTGCCTGAGCGGGAGTTAGATCAGATCAATACTGCTGTCATGACTGTACACTAAATATGAAGCTATAGCCAGGAAATGGTTAGACTTCTGTCTTCCAGCTCCTCTAAAGCTCACAAACAACAACAACAACAAGGGGTTGTTTTTGTTTGTTTTTTTACAGGGATTTATGTGCTTTAACTATTTCTTGGAGTGACTTCCAGGAGCCTGTGCTAAGCTAAGCCAAACCATCTCCCGGCTCGAGCAAACAGACACAGGAGTGGTATCGATTTATTCATCTAATGTCAGGCAGTAATCGTTGTGTCTTCTTAGCTGGCTTGCTAACATCGGCCAATGGAGAGCCTACATTCAAGAATCAGTTGGTTTTGTTTGTCTAGTTTCAGGCTGTGAGGTCTTGGCAGCAGTAAATATGTCTGCTTGTTAATCCATACTAAGGTGTGTGGGTGTCTGGGATTTGGAGTTTCTTTAAAGGCACTTTTGATGGAGCTGGGCTGAGTAAGAAGCAAACAGATAAAGTAACGAGTTATCTAGTTAATTACTTTTGCTGTCGAGTAATCAGAAAAGTAATGAAGTTACATTTTTGATTAGTAATATGTAATGAAAGAGTGATTCGATTTTTCAATTAACTTGCCCATTGCAAGCTTCTATTAAACTGCTAAGTGATGACTTATGACACACGGCTGAAAGATAATCACATTATTACCCAGTATCCTGGAAGGCAGATCCATTTTACAGCCACACGTGAAAGCTATAAGCCATTAGCATTGACAACAGTGTCATCCCTTACCCCAACCAAGGTCGAAGGAACCAAGGAACCAGCTATCCTTCTCTGACCACCGTCTGTGGTTCCGCGATGGTGGAACAAGCTACAGAAAGCTCTGAGAGCAGGAACGTCCCTCTATATCTTCAAGGTGCATTGAAGCTTTAGGGATAAAAGTATCTGTTCCACATATGTCACAGAAATTAAAACTAACAAAACATTACCTGTCACAGGTACAAACGCTGACCCGTTTCAGTGCACTGCTCTGAGGCGTTTCAACGAGAGTTTTCAGATATTATCAAAATGACCAAAACATCATGCAATCAATTCTCTAACTGCCAGTAACCAAGAGAAAGTGCTGTGACTGTTTAAAAAAAGACGAACTCTCCGCTTGCGATGGTAATGCGTATGTAAATTACACAATTACACTAAATGTAAATCAGAGTTTCTCCTCACATTTCGAAGCAAAGCCATGCAGACTGTATTCCTCTCACTAACTGAATTCATCCAATCGCTTATCCTTGTCGTGGTTGTGGAGGCACGTTCACCTAATTACTGTCATGCGTTTGAAATCTTTCAAAAGTTTTCACAGACTTTGTGCGGAGTCCATTCAGAATGGCAGATCATTGCTGTGAAATATCCGGCAGGCCTCATCACACAACAAGTAAGACAGATGGCTTTTCCGTCTATCATTAAAATCAGATCAATGTTTGATGAACTGATAAATGACTTGTCAATAGTCCCATCGGTACTCACCAGGTCTGTTCGGCTTGATCGCTGGGCCAGTCCAGGCGACACATGTGGCCGACAGTACTGTTGGTCTTAGAGAAAGACCTCAGGACGCTGAACACCGGGTATGGCACCATGATGAGCAGCGACACCACCCACGTGGCGGCGATGACGCGGTAAGCGTGGGATCGGGTCTGCCACGCGCGAGACTTCAGCGGGTTACAGATGGCGCTGTATCGCTCGATGGCGATGGCCACAAGGCTGAAGGTGGAGATGCTGACAGAGATTCCTGCAGGGAAGAAACATTTAGAAAGTAAACATTTAGAAAGCTGACGCAGAGGTAAAGTTGGCAGCTGGTTAGTGGCTCAGTTGGTTTGTTGGTCTCAGCAACTACTGGGAAGATCATTATGAAATTTGGCACCAATATATGCAAAGAGGATAATTAGGTAATTACTTAAAGCAAATATATTGAATGACTTTTACAGATTATGATTATGAAAATCTGACAAAATATAACAAATCTCTTATCAAACTTTTTATATCTCACAGCAAACAGCAGCGTGGAAACATAAAAGTAGCAGCTTTGCATTTTCAGCCACGTCAGCTTATTCATTTTATCACTCCAACAGCTCAGATGAAGAAAGAGTTTGTGTGTTTGGAGGGTTGATGAACTCTCTGTAGCTGGTGTCTGCGTTCTGCCAACAATTGCAATTGAGTGAAAAGACGCGTCACTCCGTAACGCCAATGTCCGAACGTGAGTGGACTCTGTGTTTTTGTAGTTCAACAAGGAACCAAGGAGACTCTTCTCATATTTAAACTTTGCTTTGTATCAGATCAACATTTTTAATCTGAGCATCTGATTGGTTGTTGAATGGAGACCTTCATTCAGTGCTGCTGGTACAGTAGGCGAAAGCTGTTAATTGAATGTGTCAGATAGGTTTCACATGTATTATACTTGTCTCATTCTTCAGGTTGGGAACATTAATCCGTCATTTCAGACTAAAAAAGCTGATTAAACACCTCTGAGTTATTTTACTCATTGATTACTTGCAACTGTTAGAAGGTCAACCTAATAAGGGATTTGAAAGGATCCTGTTTTGATAAGTGGATTTAAATTTAAGGCTTAGTTAAACTGTTGAATCAAAGTCACCAACAGGAGTTATTGAAGCTGATCAAACTCACTCAAAGATGCAGCACAAAGTGCGTGTCATCTATTTAGTGACAGCACAAAAAATAGCTGTTTGCCCCTCACAATACAGGAACCTCCCTGTTCCATAAAATCCATTAGTCAAACAAACCTGAAACTGCTCCGTCACCACCGCCTCGTCAGCCAGAGTGAGAAGGCTAAAAGACGCGACAGCTTAAATGTCAAAACATTTTCCATTTCAATGGCTAACGAGAAACTAAACTATCCGAGGACACTATACGGTTCAATACGGATTAAATTCCTTTAGTTTTTACTAAGTTGTAATCGCATGTATTACTATGCATAATCTGCAGAGGGGGAGCGTGCTCAGTCAGTGCACAGCCTGTGTACTGAGCCGGTGGTGAGACAAATAGCATTAATAAACCCCCTTCACCACACTGATCCCCTGCCGTTACAAATAGCAACAACTTCAATCCGCCGTTGCACTGTCACATGTTTATCCCCGGTCATTGTTCCCTTCACGATGGAAGAGCACATCCTGTCTAAACCACAGCTTTGCATTATCACTCAAGGACGGGAATCATTATGCATACGCCTATGAGCGTGGTGCAATTCAATTTAGAGCAACCATGTTAAGTATGTGAGAGGTAGACCGCTCTATGGCTCAGTCGAGAACAATATATCCTCCCCTCTGCTGGATCAGCCTTTTGTGAAGGTCTCTCCTGCAAACCAGTGATAAAATCTTTGGTCCTTTCTGCCGTGAAAGGCTTTGTTATCAGAAGCTAAAAGATTAAGGATTTAGAGTAAATTGTCTGCAAAAGTTTTTTTTTTTTTTTTAAAAACCCGTCACATCTGTGGATGGCAACCTAGAGAAGAAAGAGAGCTGTGCGGATATTTAGTGTGGGATGTGATGTGGAGTCTGATAGAAGCAGACAATAGCTGTATCTTATTCCTGCGCTAACGGAACAAAGGCGCCGGCTTGTAGAGATACTCAAGAACAAAGCAAACATCAGAGTCACAAAAAGACGACTGAATGCCTTTTATACCCGGAGAGCAGTCGGAGAGCCTCTGCTGTGCATTATTAAAACCATCTGAGCTGCCGGTGAGAAGGATCATTCTTTATGATTGCTGCCACACAGACATGAAACCAAAACAACTTGGCTACTGATGCAATGAGATGGAGACGTATATATACGATATATAGGGGGGACGGGAGAGTTTAAAGTTTTGTACTTAAATTATTTTAAATGTTTTCAGCATTTTTCAAACCTAGAGAAATCTGTGAGTAAAAGTTACACAGTCTGTGTATATATAAGACAATATTTAGCATGCGGAGGGATATATAGTGATTGGGATGTGTTCATGTGCTCAGAAAATCCAGAAGAGCAAGGTGACTTGTTGTCATTCTTCACCTGCGATCACAGAAGCAGAGTTACAACTTTCGTTTTTGTCGAAGAGGCTTCACTCTCTTTGCCGAGCCCACTCGTTCTCTGACACAATCCCGGCCGACTGTTGACCACTGTGCACTACCGGTCAACTACAATATCCACCTCCTGCGCTGTCTGAGCAGAAGGAGGTGGGTGGCACAGTCAACACGAGCAGATCTTAACGGTGCACCGGCGGTGTACGAGTCTCACACAATAAGTCTCTCACAACCCACACGCCTCTTTCAAGTGTTGAGCTCGGACACTGAAAGACCAAATCGCACAACGAGAGGTTGTCCTTCGTTGACGCCTGACGGCAGCAGCTTGTACTGATAGTGGAAATGAGGAACACAGAGAGGGAGGAAGCGATCCTTTTCACGCTTTTCCGGCATGGCAAGGAGGAGGGATGATCACAACAAACAATGAAAAATAATGAGCAGTAGAAAAAGAAGAAAGAGTTATTTATTATGAACTACTTTTGTAGAGTGCTGTGCTGAACTAACAGACAAAAAGCAGGATTAAAAGACAAAAGGAATCACAGAAGAAGCATTAAAAACACTGCAGGTGAAATGCAAATGAAAACAAAAAATATCACAAAAGAAACACTATTCAGGGAATCAAGTTTTTAAAGGAATAGTTTGCCGGTTTATGGGGAATTTAATTCATCCTTTAAATGTCAAACTGCTCTTTTAGAGCACGAGAACAAAGACGGAGCAGATACTTTTAGCAGTGAGGCCTGTTTTAGGAATATGAATGAAGCAGTCATCTTCGCCACCAACCAGCTTAAAAACTGCATGACAGGTCGGGGCCGTGCAGCCTCCCTGACCACCACAGGGTGGAACTGGCTCATTGTATTTTGCAGAACACAAAGTTATCCGCCACTTTTCAGGACATGGATGATGAAGATGAGTGGCTGGGCCCCGCTAGAGGGTGAAGCCTGTTTGAAATTAGAGCCACAGCTTTTCAAATGAGTGATATTTTCAAAAAGACTGATCGCTGGGAGGCTGTGGACATTCATACTGACGGGAAGTGCACTTCCAGGTGATGTATGGCACTGATAGTCCTGTGATTTGAATTGATGACACACTTGCCGGTAGTCACAGACAGCTGAAAGAAATCGAGCTTCTTGTCTGAGGCATTAGATTCTAATCCTGGAGCATCGGGCTCAAATTCATCAACCCTTTCAACATTTCAGTCCAAGTCCACTTGACCATCTGTTTTATTACTGCCGGGGGAAGGCACCAATGATCTGAGAGCAACACTTGTGACGGAGCGATTTGTTTTTCCTCTAAAGAAGAGTAATGAAACAAAATAAAAAAAAACACACTTTAAAATATACTGCACTAACTGTACAGCTCATACTCTCCCATGCATTAATACTGTATGTGCTTTAAGAGCATTCTTCTTCTTTATGTGAATTCTTACTCGCAGGCATCTCAGTATAACTGATGCTGCTGATGCCACATTTTCTATGTGTATATTAAACAGCGCGGACAGTTTTCCTTAATATGAATGTCTCATATGTCCCAGTTATTGCTTCTGTAAGTGTTTCCTAGTTGAGCTTTCGGCTGATTCAAGCTCCACTCCCTGACACTAGGCAGTATTGAGAGGCTAATGTTTGAGACGGGGAGATTCTGCTGCGATTCTGGGCAAGGTGCTGCCACGTAAATTACCAGTCAACTAACCGACCAAATGCTCGCATTTTCCCCCAGCGCTGTATCTTCCCTCCTCAGGATGAGCGCACTAATCCTCTCTCTTGTTCATTAAACCCGAGTCGGGCAAACACTCACAGCGGTCCGCTTGATAACTGTGAAGTTTGCAGACGAGCATCTTTCGCCGCACCTCGACCTGGGAGAGAAGCTTTAGATTCCTCCGCTGAAGCTCTTGTTAATTCGTAAGCCACACCTCATTCTCCGTCGAATGTCAAGAAGCTGAGAAAAATATTTACAAGAGAGTAAGTGTCTTATACTGTAGGTGCCAGATTCCCTCGCAGCCATTTCTGTGAAAATTTCTCTGTAAACCATGAAAGTCCTAATTCTAATACATTATGCAAACTGCACCTCTGGGTTGGTAATTGCATCATACGACCAGCAACGAAGACGCAAACATGGATACATAAATGTGATTGAGGACTGCACACACGCACAAACGCAAACACTACCAGAATATTATAACATCGATCTCATAACTGCCACCAAAACGGCACAGCGGCTATGACTCACATGATTATCGGGCTAGGGGCAGATGGATGGATGCACAGGCGAATGGGTGGAGTAGAAGGATGGATGGTGTATTATATGTCCAATGGGCGTGTGCTAACAGATGAGTTTGCAAAGAGTAGATGAGTTTGCCAAGCAGGTTTGCTGCAAAATCAATGGATGGGGATAGTCACAATGATCCTGTGTATTGATTGGTGTTGGCTCATAGAAGGGCTCACTCAGGGATGCGCTCGGAGGAGACGAGGAGAGGGGGCTTGACTGATATGAGTTTATACGCGCACGTTGATGTCAGTGTCATATTTTGACAAACAAGCATCACTGTCATAGACTGAAGGAAACGCCACAAAAAGTCGCATCATTAGTGAGACTATTTTATCCAGCGTTCACACTCATACCCGCTCTGAATGATGCTCCTTTACTGGCAGTGAATCTCACTTCCACCGGTTCCTCTTAATGAGGCTGTTTGATAATAAAAAGACGGAACCATTTACTTAAAGGAGACCTATTACACTCATTTCCAGCTCTTGGACTCCACTAGAGTAGCTTTGCATGATTCACAGTTCAAAAAGAGTCCTTATTTATCTCAGACTGCCCGTTATGTAACCCCTCAGTCGAGCCTCTGACTGGAACAGGCAGTATGTGAGTTCAGGCCTTTTTTAAAAGCTCACTTTCTTCTGATTGGCCGAACTTCCAGAAGCAGTTGCACTTGCCACCCGTCCTGATTTTCCCGGGATCGTTCTCCTTTTTTTTTTTTTTTGAGCGACTGTCCAGGAAAAGTAATATTCTTTCCCTGAACATGAATTCACATTGACCAACAACGAGCTTGTCTTGACAGTGTGGAGGAAACGGGGATCTGGAAAGTCCAAAATGGATGAGGCTATCTGCTTCTATCTGCTTGGAGTCAGTGGTACAAATCCAGCTTTTTAATAAACTGTGACAATAAACGTATTGTCCCGTTAGCGGCTGAGCTAACAAGCTAACTGAGCTGACAGTTAGCAAGCTTGCTACCACAGCTCTTTCATCACCGTTTGAAGCACTAATTCAATCCCAGCCGAATGAAACTTTAACTCATTCAACTTATTGTGTCGAGAAAATGAAATGTTGTGGCAGGTTTTGCTGTCAGGAAGAAACATCCATCACATCTGCAGTGAAGGACATCCAGGTCATTATTTACTGTTGACTAAAAGGCCAGTAATTACATAGTCTGAATAAATTTGTGTCACAAACATTCATTATCAGTTAAACTACTCTGAGACCCTGACCTCGTCTGAGAGCATAACATAAGCCAAAGTGGCTGAATAACAAAGGTTTGTATTTAAAGCCGGAGGCAGCTGACCCTCCTGCCCTCCTCTTATCACAGCTCACAGAGCCCAGTAATTGAAAAGGAGTTTCGGTGAGCCTGTTCTCACAGATGGTGCATCACATTTCTGAGACAATAATAGGATTGTGGACCTCACCATTCAATAGATCTTCTCAACCTTTCAAAGCTCAACTCGAGGTGAAGAGACCTCGAAGTGCCGCCGCGGATCTCGGTTTTCTTCGCCGTTTCTCTGTGTGTTCTCCGCTCTGACTCAGGCCTCACGTGGCACCTTGACTCTGGCCTGATGGGAGCCAGCTCATCGCTAAGTCACACTCCTGGAGATGTGTGACTGTTCGGGCACTTTCAGAATGATGGTTACCTTCTGACAGGCAAAAATGAAGCCCAGATAAAAGCCTCACTCTGAGAGACAGGCTCTTGTTAGATATCGAGCGATTTTCAGGCAGGACTCTGCAGCTGGGGCACAGTTCCTGATCGGCTGTCAGCCATGAAAACAGACCTGAGTTCCATGTTAGAATAATAAAACACCTATTAACCAAGCCATTGAATGAGCAGCTTGTTCCTCTATAAAATCATCATCTTCATTAGATCTCGCTTGTGTTCCTGCGAAGTCTGTTTAGCGTGGCTGCGACTCGTTGTGTATTACTTAAGAAATAATTGGCACTTTTCATGCAACTTGAATTTTCCATTCCGTTTCAACTTTAAACAGAGAAGGAAATAACTGCTTACAAGTTTTAGTATTCATCTCGTAAATGCAACTTTTCTGAAACCTTTTGTTCAATTTCACATTTGTTGAGTTTCTCCTTTTATCTCTCCTCGCTGTTGGAAGCTATAGAAAACATACAGAGAGCAGAGTCTTGGTCCTGATTGGTTCACGTGGCCTACAATGAATTTCTCAGAGTCGAAGCAGCAGCAGCTTCATGTTTCTAATATAAATCTATATGATATATAGCATAAAGACAAGAAATGAGGAATTGGCTTGCCAGGCTTTGTGTAATGGTAACATAATCTTTCTACCAGCAACTTTAACACATAGCATGTTATTTGTCTTTATCTGTAAAAAACTGAAGAGTAAAACAATAAATTTGGGTTTTATGATGAGTTATGTGCAGGACTATTTCTTGACCAGGCGCATCACTTGTTTGACTAAACAAATGAGATTCAGTATAACAGGATAATTAGTGATCTATTTTACTCATTTTAAATCACATGAAGCTCCACGTGCAGGAGAACTGATCTTATTAGCGCCACTATCCCTGCTAATAGTTGTTCATCAGTTGTTAATCAGTACGTTTACATGCACACTAATATTCCATTATATATATATATACTGACTTTATTGATCAGTACTAAGCCCTCATTGATTTCTTTGCCAGCTGGAGAGATTTATGACTTCCTGAACTCCCTGCTGAATTTGGAAACAAGAAGTCTTCACACCAGTTCTATCCCTTTAATTTAAAAACAGGAAATTAAGCTGTTGGAATATATTGCAGTTCACCAGGGTTTGAAATGAGACAATTGACGCTCACCCATAAAGTAGGTGACGGTCTTGCACATGGAGGCTCCGAAGATGAAGTCCTCCAAGATGTTGGGGATGAGGGTGAAGGGCATGCAGAAGATGGCCATCATCAGGTCGCTGACCGCCAGCGACAGCAGGAAGGAGTTGGTGACGGTCCGCATGCGCTTGTTCAGCATCAGGACCACGATGATCAGCAGGTTTCCGAAGACGCTGATCAGGAAGATGAGCGAGTAGAGGAGGATACGCAGCGAGTCCATCTCTGACAGGGACAAAGACAGAGACAACTTAATAATCAGCTGATCAGAGGATCAACTTTGAATTAATTGACATTACCTAAGAAACATCACCTTGTTTCAATAAAACCTCTCGGTAAGCAAGAGTGGGAACTTTCTCTTGTAGTCATGAGAGACAAATACACGCAGGACTGAGTAATATTCAAGCAACCCACGTATTTGACACATGCAACAATAAAATAAGAAAGACGGAAAAGAAAAAGCAGAAAGAAAACAAAATAACATCAATACATGAAGAGAACAGACTGTATCAGGTTGTTCACCTGGGAAATAGGAGTCAAGGCGCATAAACAACAGTCTATTACGAGACAGAATAACTCTGCATAATCGACATCTTAAATTGTGCAAGTGTCAGTATTTTCCTCTTCATACTGTGAGCCAAACAATAATTGAAATAATGACACTGGGAACAAAAGAAGATAAAAACATCGAGAGTTAAACAGACTGTGTCAGGTGGTGACCTGGGAATACAGCTGAAACTGGAAAAACAAGACCGAAATTAAACAGTTCTCTTTTTATTTGCATCATCAGCATCTTTCTCTGAGGTGGTGTCACGGTTTTTACTCAGGTGACAGATTCAATAATTGAAATACTAATGAGAGGAGCAGGGGTGAGGGTAGAGGGGTGGTCCTGAAGTGACTGTTAACGTTTCCTCTTGGAAAGTCAGTGAAATGACCACAAAGCATCACAAAACAGCCACATAGACGCAAACAACTACAAAATGATGCAAAATTACCACAAAGAGACACAAAACGACAACAAATAACACAACCAGATGTTGTTTATTTGGCGTAGCTATTAATAATCAACAGTTTATCATTCTGAAATAAATAATCAGTTTATTATTGCCAGGAACTAAGGCTTTATTGAGTCATTTTCCCTTCTAAAATCATGCCTCCTCTAAAACAATGCCCCCATTAAACATGCCTTTGCACAGGAGCAACGGAACGTTTTCTGTCTAGAACTAAGAGTGACAGAGTGCTCTAAAATAAGTGTGATTCAGATTGATTCCTTCTTTCATCGCTGCCATACAGCTGAGCATCAGTGAGAGCAGGACGGCCCAGCCAGAGGGTTTTTGGGATGCTCCCTTCACTCACACCGGCCTGTCACAGCGAGTCTGTTTGAGAATGAAAGTATCTGACAGGACAAGGTCGGGGCCGGCCATGTGCTGCGCTGACTGAGTCGTCTGATTAAAGACAGCGACATGGGAGAAGTCTAAAGGTCTGCAGCAGGGCCTGCAGACAGAGCGCTGCACATCACCTTGAAGGCAGACACACACACACACACACACACACACACACACACACACACACACACACACACACACACTACTCATGAGGAGTGGAACCAGGACAGAAACAGTACTGTATGTTTAGTTATCGCTCATGTGGGATTCAAAATGCATTTTTGTGCCACAGTGGGAGCTGAACCAAGTAGCATGTTAATGATGCAATGAGGCTATTTTTATTTTCATATTTTCATATTTTCATATTGTCCTCCCACACAGAGGCACGACTTGAATACTTCCTGAATAAAAATTATATCTGAAACATAATGATGAATTGCAGCGTTCTTAAAATAAAATTCTTATAAATAAAAGCCTTTCTCGCAACTCGCTGTTGTCAACAACACAACTCTGAGACGACTTAGAATAAAGTTCTGTTTTTGTTAGACCACAAAGTAAAAACAACAACAAGAGGAATATCTTCCTTCTATAAATAATAAAACACACTAACTGACATTAGTAAGTCAGTATGTATGCTAACGTTAGCTAGCGTTAGCATACTTCAGATGGATATTGCTTTGTAACTGACATTAGTTGCCGACTTTATGACTCTTTGATACTTATGCTACTATAAAGCTAACTTTTAGCATCTTCATATTAGCATGTTATTACCCAGTTAGTGTGACTTGTGACCACAGTAGTTATCTGTTATCATCACTATTGTAATGCTACGTTGCTGCTAATTTGTACCATGTCCTGTGCCTCTAGATAATTAATATACGATATTAAATTTGACTATTTTCCAAACTATTTCTGTTAATATTTCACAAAGCCTAATACTATCAGTTGACAATATTTTACTTTAAATATTATTCCTTAGTGTTGCTTTGCAAGGCTAATTGGTTACTAACACTACAGCTCATTTGTGCTCTGTTGCAATGCTGCAATACTGAAGAATGGTTGTCCATAACCATATACATAATACACCAAACAATATGTATGTTACCTGTAAAGAAAAAACAGCAGCAATTTATTGGAATTAAACATTAAGGAAATGTGAGAGGCCAAAGGCATAATTTAGTATTTACAACTTGGGCAACCTGCAGAGAGAGATACTCCACAGAAAAGATTAAAGTAGACGAGGTCTGGATTTGAACTCTGGACACAGCAGGATGCATGTTAATCACCTCTGCCACCTGAGACACCCACTTTCCCCCAATTGAAAATATGAATTATTCTTTTGATAACAAAAATCCTGTGATGGCTTTGAGAGCAGTTTCATCAGCTGAAGACTGATATCACACCCTCCCTGTTTCAGTCGGTGAAGGACAAATCTGCAACCGAGGTGACAAGTTTGATTTACACAATAAAATTATGTGAGATATGCATCATCAGCACTAACTTGTGAGACTCCCTACACAAACACCAAGCAGGGAGCTCCCACCGGCTCAGCAGCTCCTGCTGGGTTGCATTTTGTGCAGTCCAGCCAAGTGAAAATGGAATTATCTATTCATTGAGCACTGACGGTGTGTTGTCTCCCCGGAGCCGCGACTCCAGGACAATCCACTTTTGGCTCCCTAGACTCGCTCAAGCGTGACAGCCGTGTTCAAATCCACAGTCATCTACACAGATGAAAAGATAGCGCTCACCTCGGAAATCATTTGATGTATCATGTATCATATCACATGCAACAGGAATTGTATACGTGGAATATTTATTTATGACCGAGGGCGGAGAGATCAACACTTGTTTAGTTAAACTCTGTTTGCTCTGTTCTTTCTTCGCTCCTATTGGCTGCTGCTATGCCAACTGTAATTATGATTCCCCCATGGGAATCATTAAAATTTCATCACATCACTTCACTTTGTCTTATCTTTAGGATAGGATTAGTACAACTAGGCACAGTGTGTCATTTGAAGGCTTTTTACTGGGGGGTACTTTTTATGGTTTGACTGATGGAGCTGGATCTCATCATCAGATATGAATAAATCGTCACAAAGATCATTAATAATGAACAGTAATAATCCTAGAGGTGATGTGGTTGCAGAAAAAGGGCCCAAGTTCCGAACTATCCTTTCAATCACAACCTTGCCACAGGGCTGTATTTCATACCGAGCCCCTGTGAGATGATCAAACGTTCCAAATTGTTAGAAATGACTGTCAGCTCCGTCCAAATCTGATGCTGCTCCTAATTACAAGTGAGCTGAAAGCCCTTTGGAAATGAACCTGTGAAGCAGCAAACATGAGTCAGGAAATGAGTCCTGAGCTTGTGGGAGTCAGCAACTAATTCCTTCTTCTCATGCACTGTTGAAAGCAAGGCGTCTACTGCTACACCTTAACTATGCAACATTTAAACTAATTATTATTTTAACTATCAAAGTAGTTATTGATTATTTGATTGTAAAAAAAAAAAATTGTGCATCTAAATTTCCAAGAGCTTGAGTGTATGTCTTGGAAATACTGAATTAAAGTTAACATAAAACAGAGGAAGAAACCAGTGAATTGATGCTAATGATCTTTGGCATCAGATGTGAATGATCTGCTGACTAAGACTGTGAGATGCTGTTGAAAGCTCTGGAAAAAGCCAGTAAGGGGAAACCTGAGTTAAGATATTTTTCTTCAAAATTGAAAATGGAAGCTCTTCAACGATGGTTCAGTGAATGATTGCCGTCTGTGCATGCTGAATTACTAAACATATTAACTGAATTTTGTTTGGCAGCAGTAATAAGTCTAATATCATTAGATTTGCTCGATCACTTTTCCGTTGATACATTTCCATTTTTTCTTAAAGGGAAAACATCTTGTAGTTAAATTTACATTCTTATTACAGAGTTTCTTCCAAAGTCGGAATCAGAAAGAGAAGAGACCTTTTTATTTTTTAAATGTCATTAAGAGATAAACAGATGTATCATTGATTAGTTTTCTTATCGTTTTTCTGTGGGCTTTTTCCCATATGACAATATTATCTTATAATTAGGAAGTGGTACATGTGAAAATAAGATGATTTTGCTCCTTTATAAAAAATTAGTTCACAGGATAATCTGTGTGTGAATAATAAACTGCTGTAATTGACCTTTTATAGTGTTTGTCTGTGAAACACCACATGGAAACTGGCTCAATTCAAGTCAGACCGGGCTGTGTTTTGCAATTGATTTGCTCTTTATCTGATGTCAACATTCGTTTCATCATAACCATTAATGGTTGTGTTTTGGAGCCTTTTCACTCGTAACCAGTAAACACTCCAAGGTGTGAATAAACCACTACAAACAAGCTCGGTATGAATGTTTCCTCAGAGTTGACGGTTGCTTCTAATGCCTGATTCTTTTCCACACTGCACTTCAAAAAGTGTTCAGCCTAATATTTAAGATTTATGTGTTTCCATCCAAAGGGTTTAAAGGTATTTGAAAGTGACAAGATGGGCCAGGGCTAGCTGGTTAGCGTGCTAACTTCAGTAGAAGAAGAAATGTGATAAAGAGTTAACACTGGTGTTGTTTTCCACCTCTACAGGCAGCTGTTGGTGAGCAAAGGAAATGAAGTTTGATGCTGAACTTGCAACGTTTCTTCTAGACTGGTGAGTAAACAACTGTTAATGCTAATGTTAGCTATGTAGCGATAGCCAAACTTACAAATAGCTTAATAACCAGTTTTATGCAAAATAAACCTGGTAATTAAGCATTTTAACACATTGGCTTTATTAATACTATTACATAAATCTCATTGTTACTTTATATATGAACAAAC